TTTTAGAGAAGCAAGAACCGACAACCAGCATGAAACAAGGCATTATAACATTAATTCCTCAACAAAGTAAAGATAAAAGAGTGTTGGATAACTTGAGGCCTATAACACTCAGGGTGGCTGCAGGTTTAAGGGAGCCAAATTTAAGACTTTTTAAGACCCTTTTTAAGGCCACTTAGACCAAATTTAAGCTATTTTTAAAATTAAATTTAAGCTATAATTTCCAGCTATTGCCTGGAACCGGTGCTAACCACGTCGCGAACGTGGGATTAGCCATCCAGTTACCGTTAAACTTGCACTTCCACTAGTTTAACCAGCTAATGTGCTCATCTAAAAATAGCCCCCTTTCACAACCAACTGAAGGTGTACGGTTCTGCTTTCGCCAACATTGTACACAAAAAATGCTGAACACTAACTAGAAAGTCACAAAAATGTTATAGAAATAAAAGAATCTTGTTTATTTGGGTCTTTGAAAATTTAAGACCTTTGGAAACTGTATTTAAGGATTATTTGTCATTTTTAAGGATTTTTAAGGCCTTAAATTTGGAAAAGCTAATTTAAGTCTTTTTAAGGACCCGCGGATAGCATTTGTACAGTGTAAAGATTCCCTTTGGTTCAGGATTCCCAAGGCAATATTTCAGAAAGTTGGAGGGATAAAATTTTTGTTGCGTTGTGACTATGATATAGGAAAATTACTATCTGACTATCATAAGCAAGTTCTCCCTTACTGAACCTAATATTCAAGCATCATGTCACCCCACACAAGTCACCCTTGTGCAACAATAGATGTATTCTATCAAATAAGAAGTCGTTATTCATTGAAAGTTGGTTGGATAAAGGAATTTGGACGACAGCTGATTTATTGGATGAGCATGGCAATCTTTTGAAATATGAAGATTTGTGTGATAAGTTTGGTCTGATATGCTCACCAAGTGAACACAAGAAAGTCATTAAAGCCATTCCAGCTCCTGTCAAAACGATGACTCAGCAAACAAGGATACATGCAAAGGGGTCAGAGATGAGATGTGTAGAAGGAATTAGATTCAGTTGTAAGGATTTTTCTAACAGATTAGCCCGTAAGACTTTAACAACCCAACATTACCTGTACCAGCTAAAGAGGAAATACATTTTACGTGACTTTAATGAATCTGAGAAGGAAATTAAGGAAGAGATATTTGTCTTATCCAATCCCACATAAAGCGAAGGAGCTAACATTCAAAAGTTTAAATTATATTTATCCATCCAATAACTTTCTACATGTTAGATTTAACTGGACGAATAACTCATGTGGGTTTTTGTGAAAGTAAAATTGAAAATGTCGAACATCTCTTTTTGAATGTGAGCGTAGATTTCTGGTGTTCTGTTCACACTTGGTTGTTGTCTAGGCATGTAACAGTAACCCCCAAATTCCACTACCTCCGCTCCGCCCCCGCCTTCCGCAGCCGCTCGCTTCCGAACTCAATTTTTACTGGTACCTGCTCAACAACGGCTCCGCTCCGGTGCGGAGACCTGAGGTGGGCAAACAAGCATGCGTGGGATTTTCGAGATCTTGCGATACAGTCCGAGCAATAAACGCGGAAGTTAGATCCAGACACCCGTTGTGTGGGAGAAGCATCGGCATGAACTGTTTAATCTGCCCATCATTTGTGTTGAGAGATCAGCAGTGTCTGGATCAACAAAGTGTGACTACTTTGATAGTGGAAACTGTATTTTTGGCTTACTTTTGTGCATTTAAACTTCAGCCGCCATTGATAGTTGTTAAAAGTTGTTAAACCTGTGCATATGAAACAAAAAACGCCTTTTGTTTATCGATTTATTGTGAAAAACGGAAGTTGTGCTTGCTCCTTTTCCTGTTGGGCCGTTGTGATTTCTGTCCATTTACTGCGGAGGTGCTCCGGTGTTGTGCCATTTATCGACTCGCTGCCAAAAAATGATCAGCCACCGCGGGATCACGCACGGTTAGGGTAATTGCATTTCTAGACGAAATTCCCCGGGATTTCACCCTAAAACTCAGCATATCTGGCAATGTGGACATTCAGAAAGCAGAGATAACCTCTTCCGGTACTTAAACAGATGTTTATCGCGGATATTAGTTTTTCCAGTTGGGAAGTTGTTTTAAGTGTTGCTATTTGTCTTAAACGTTCACAATGAGGATATATTAATCCTTTTTGCAATATTTGCGATTGAAAGATGGTTTGTGGTAAGAACTGGCTTTCTTTATGTTACAACCTTGATACAAAAAAATCAATAAACAATGTAAAATGGCGCCCTGTATTGAATGTAAACGTTGTATAAATGTAAATAAACAATTCTCCAGCGATTTAATTTTTTCCCCTTCCTTTCTTTAGTCCACTTGACATGGAGCCACAGTTAACTAGTTTGGGGCACATTTTTACTTGAAAAATAGTATTTAAACTGATCAAGCTTTGGCTTTACTGACACTGTGTAGGTTGCTATCTAAACATTACGTTGCTCTGTTTAAAAGTAACAAGATAAAAGCACTTCAGCACATAAAATTAAGATTGTCACTTGCCAAATAGAGACTACACCATCCTGTTTACCTATAAGAAACGCCTCAAAATATCTTTAAATTCTTTATTGATGATTTAATTGTAGACAACTAAAATGGCATTTTACTTGCCACAAAGTGATTGAATCGCTCAGATTTTCATGGAGGCTAAAATTGACCAAATAAGAGTTTTATGTATTATCTGTTGATGTTACTGTACTCATACTGCCTACTGTATCATCATAAACACCCCAAAAATGGCAACAAAAAAAAGATAATTTCCCTTGCCAAAAATTGATTAGTGTCCTGGTCACGTGTAAAGGGTTAAATTTACCTAAATATTACTTCATTTATTATCTCTTGATGGTATTAGTGCCATCACAGGATGCTGGGTCTCTTCCACATTCATAAACACCCCAAAAATTGCAACAACTAACTAACTAAATAAATAAATAAATAAAAATGACAGTTTCACTTTTTTGAGCTTATGTATATATATATATATATATATATATATATATATTACTTTCTTTTGTTTTTGTTATTATGTTAGGCTGAATTTTTACAAGGCAACAAACTTTGCTCACAGCTCATTGGCCAATAGCGATAATTAGTAAGCAAGTTGGTTGATTGCATCAACTGTCGGCGCATTTTGCAGTGCAAGATGGATGCAACCTTGCATCGTCAAATTTTGGCTTTCAAAAATGAAGGAATATATCCCCCTGGTCTTTCTCTTTCACAGAAGTCCAACTTTCGTCGAAAAGCCAAGAGTTTTGAGGTCCAAGGTATGTTTATTGGTTAGGGTTATCAAGAGATAATAAATGAAGTAATATTTAGGTAAATTTAACCCTTTACATGTGACCAGGACACTGTGATCAATTTTTGGCAAGGGAAATTATCTTTTTTTGCCATTTTTGGGGTGTTTATGATGATACAGTAGGCAGTATTAGTACAGTAACATCAACAGATAATACATAAAACCTTTATTTGGTCAATTTTAGCTTCCATGAAAATCTGAGCGATTCAATCACTTTGTGGCAAGTAAAATGCCATTTTAGTTGTCTACAATTAAATCATCAATAAAGAATTTAAAGATATTTTGAGGCGTTTCTTATAGGTAAACAGGATGGTGTAGTCTCTATTTGGCAAGTGACAATCTTAATTTTATGTGCTGAAGTGCTTTTATCTTGTTACTTTTAAACAGAGCAACGTAATGTTTAGATAGCAACCTACACAGTGTCATTAAAGCCAAAGCTTGATCAGTTTAAATACTATTTTTCAAGTAAAAATGTGCCCCAAACTAGTTAACTGTGGCTCCATGTCAAGTGGACTAAAGAAAGGAAGGGGAAAAAATTAAATCGCTGGAGAATTGTTTATTTACATTTATACAACGTTTACATTCAATACAGGGCGCCATTTTACATTGTTTATTGATTTTTTTGTATCAAGGTTGTAACATAAAGAAAGCCAGTTCTTACCACAAACCATCTTTCAATCGCAAATATTGCAAAAAGGATTAATATATCCTCATTGTGAACGTTTAAGACAAATAGCAACACTTAAAACAACTTCCCAACTGGAAAAACTAATATCCGCGATAAACATCTGTTTAAGTACCGGAAGAGGTTATCTCTGCTTTCTGAATGTCCACATTGCTAGATATGCTGAGTTTTAGGGTGAAATCCCGGGGAATTTCGTCTAGAAATGCAATTACCCTAACCGTGCGTGATCCCGCGGTGGCTGATCATTTTTTGGCAGCGAGTCGATAAATGGCACAACACCGGCGTCCGGCGAAAATAGGATCGATTCTATTTTTGCCGGACGCCGGAACAGAGGGCGGCGCACTGCCGGAGCACGGCCGCAGTAGTGGAATTGCTCTGATTGACTACAACGGGACCGATTTTGCTCCGGCGTCCGTGTCGGAGCGGAGCGGAGCGGAGCGGAGCGGAGCGGAGGTAGTGGAATTTGACGGACAAAGATCAGGAATTCTTGGTAGATGTTTTGATTTTGTTGAGAAAACATTTTATTCACAGATGTAAATTCATCAAGGTTAAGCCTCATTTAAGCGGATGGAAAAAGGACTTGGAACTGTTAAAGGAACGTTTATTTTCTATGGAGAAGAAAGATAACCAGAGACTTTCTTCTTTGTTGGATATTTTCAAACTTCTAGCATAAGGCCCTCACACTTTCATGTTTTTATGTTATTTACTTTTTCTTTGTGTTTGTTATTATACCCCTGTGGTAAAAGCTGATTCAACACGTTTAGATACTGATAGAATGTTTGCCCTGTTTGTTGTACAAATAAATAAATACATAAATAAATAAATAAATAAATAACTAGGAGCCGGTGCTGTTTAACTCTGACTCAGGTAGAAAGCTTGTATTGATATTTCCCCTTCTACTGAAGTCAATCTCAGCCCTAGTATCTGTACTTCTACCTGAGTAGTGGTACTCCAGACAACTCTGGGGAGAGGGTAAACCCACCGACACTCACCATGGTCGCGTGCTCCCCGCAGAACCGTCTCCCTTTTGCGACGATCATTTTACAGAACCGCTTCTTCTTCTGTAGGAAGAACACGCAGCGCGTGGGCTCCGCCATGTTGAACTGAGCGAGCTGTTGCAGAAGCTCCTGGCTGCAGCTCGCTAGACGTACACGTCCGCTGGAGGACGTCAGCGTCGCTGCCATATTGGATGGGTCTGGGTCAGGTCTGCGGATCAGCTCCTCACTGTTCCTTGGGCACGTTTCAACCTCAACACCTGCGGTGAAAGAAGAAACGTTGTTAGAGGATTTTCTTTGATTAACAGCCAGGTTTCATTTAATAACCTTTCCCGGACAAATTTGTGTTTCTCTGCTAAATACATAAACATAAATTTGTGTTTCTTTTAATAAATTAGAAGACGTGTTGGTTGTTAACAGGGACACAGTCCTGGTCCTGAGGCAGGGGCGCAACCATAGATATGTATATATAAACACTAGATGCCTCGTTCCCACTGTTCGCCAATGGGATGCGAGTGTGACGTAGGAACGTGGCAGCCATCTTACCTCAGACAGCTGTCCCCTTTCTCCATGTTGGGGTGTATGGAGCATGTACTATTTAACTTGCTCAATCTAAAACCGATTTTCAAAAGGTTTGATTTGTTATAAACGCCAGAGATATGTCTATGAAATAGGATGGGTTTGGCCCAGAAAGTCCTGTTATTTCACTCCACAAAGCATTTCATCTTTCATAAATAACATATTTAATTGTAAGCTACAGTAACTTCAAGTATACATAGCCTAATATTATATTATATAGATGTATCTATCTATCCATCTATATATATTCCTGGTTTGTGAAATAGGATTTGTTTAGAGATGAGATTTCAAGGTTCTTTTGAAGTAAAGCCCACTTTAACAGGACACAGACACAAAATGTGCATCCCTACAAATAAGACAACCGACACCCAAATCACATCTGTCAGCCAGAACCAATCCACCAGCAATGAAATTTAACCTAGCAAATTATTTTGTATTTTCTATATTTCTTAACTTTTGTTTTCTTATGTATTGACTTTCATATATTAATTATAAGCTGTTTGGAAATGCTTTCTGAAAAAGTTAGGAAATAATCAAAAGATAGATTAGGTTAATAAATAGATGGATTATAGTAATAAGATAGATTACAGTAATAAATAGGTGGATTACAGTAATAAATAAAATAGATTACAGTAATAAATAAGATGGATTACAGTAATAAATAAAATGGATTATAGTAATAAATAAGAAAGATTACAGTAATAAATATGATGGATTACAGTAATAAGATAGATTACAATAATAAATAGGTGGATTACAGTAATAAATAAATTAGATCACAGTAATAAATAAAATAGATTACAGTAATAAATAAAATGGATTATAGTAATAAATAAGAAAGATTACAGTAATAAATATGATGGATTACAGTAATAAAAATGGATTACAGTAATAAGATGGATTACAGTAATAAATAAAATGGATTACAGTAATAAATAGATGGATTACAGTAATCAATAAGATAGATTACAATAATAAATAAAGTGGATTACAGTAATAAATAAAATAGATTACAGTAATAAATAAAATGGATTATAGTAATGAATAAGATAGATTACAGTAATAAATATGATGGATTACAGTACTAAAAAATGGATTACAGTAATAAAATGGATTACAGTAATAAATAAGAGATTACAGTAATGAATAGATGGATTACAGTAATAAATATGATGGATTACGGTAATAAACAAATGGATAACAGTAATAAGATGGATTACAGTAATAAATAAAACGGATTACAGTAATAAAAAAGAGATTACAGTAATAAATAGATGGTTTACAGTAATAAATAGATAGATTACAGAAATAAATATGATAGATTACAATAATATTATGGATTACAGTAATAAATATGATGGATTACAGTAATAAATAGATAGATTACAGTAATAAATAAGAAAGATTACAGTAATAAATAGATGGTTTACAGTAAGAAATAGATAGATTACAGTAATAAATAGATGGATTACAGTAATAAATAGATAGATTACAGCTATAAATAAATTGGATTACAGTAAGAAATGAGAAAGATTACAGTAATAAATAGATGGTTTAAAGTAAGAAATAGATAGATTACAGTAATAAATAAGATGGATTACAGTAATAAATAAGATGGATTATAGTAATAAATAAGATAGATTACAGTAATAAATATGATGGATTACAGCAATAAAAAATGGATTACAGTAATAAAATGGATTACAGTAATAAATAAGGTGGATTACAGTAATAAATAAGAGATTACAGTAATGAATAGATGGATTACAGTAATAAATATGATGGATTACAGTAATAAACAAAATGGATTACAGTAATAAATAAAACGGATTACAGTAATAAAAAGAGATTACAGTAATCCATAAAATGGATTACAGTAATAAATAAGATAGATTACAGTAATAAATATGATGGATTACAGTAATAAATAGTTAGATTACAGTAATAAATAAGAAAGATTACAGTAATAAATAGATGGTTTACAGTAAGAAATAGATAGATTACAGTAATAAATAGATGGATTACAGTAATAAATAGATAGATTACAGCTATAAATAAATTGGATTACAGTAAGAAATGAGAAAGATTACAGTAATAAATAGATGGTTTACAGTAAGAAATAGATAGATTACAGTAATAAATAAGATGGATTACAGTAATAAATAAGATGGATTATAGTAATAAATAAGATAGATTACAGTAATAAATATGATGGATTACAGCAATAAAAAATGGATTACGGTAATAAAATGGATTACAGTAATAAATAAGGTGGATTACAGTAATAAATAAGAGATTACAGTAATGAATAGATGGATTACAGTAATAAATATGATGGATTACAGTAATAAACAAAATGGATTACAGTAATAAATAAAACGGATTACAGTAATAAAAAGAGATTACAGTAATACATAAAATGGATTACAGTAATAAATAAGATAGATTACAGTAATAAATATGATGGATTACAGTAATAAATACATAGATTACAGTAATAAATAAGAAAGATTACAGTAATAAATAGATGGTTTACAGTAAGAAATAAGAAAGATTACCGTAATAAATAGATGGATTACAGTAAGAAATAGATGGATTACAGCAATAAATAAGATAGATTACGTAATAAATAAATGGATTACAGTAAGAAATAGAAAGATTACAGTAATAAATAGATCGTTTGCAGTAAGAAATGAGATAGATTACAGTTATAAATAAGATGGATTACAGTAATAAATAAGAAAGATTACAGTAATAAATATGATGGATTACAGTAATAAATAAAATGGATTGCAGTAATAAATAAGATAGATTACAGTTATAAATATGATAGATTACAGTAATAAATATGATGGATTACAGTAATAAATAAGATGGATTACAGTAAATTCTGATGAGAATTAAAAAGAGAAATCATATCTCTCCTATTTTAGCTTCCCTACATTGGCTACCTGTTAAATTCAGAATAGATTTTAAGATCCTTCTTCTCACATATAAAGCTCTTAATAATCAAGCTCCATCATACATCAGTGATCTGATTGTTCCATACGTGCCTAACCGAGCACTTCGCTCTCAGACTGCAGGTCTACTGGTGGTTCCCAGAATATCTAAAATTAGGATGGGAGGCAGATCTTTTAGTTACCAGGCTCCTCTCCTGTGGAACCAGCTCCCAGCTTTAGTCCGTGAGGCAGACACCTTGTCTACTTTTAAGAATAGGCTTAAAACATTTTTATTTGATAGGGCCTATGGTTAAAATCTGATGTTAGCCTAAATCTGGACAAGTGGGGGAGTAGAGGGAGGTGGAGTGTACAGTCGGTAAAGACGGCTCTCCCTTGCCCTGACTCCAACATGCCTCCATCTAAATAGGATAGATTATCCAGAGTTATCTCTGTAGTTATGCTGCTATAGGCTTAGACTGCTGGAGGATACACTGACCACTTTTCACACTCTACTGCTTTCTTCTACAATCTGCTCTTTAACTGTATTATTTCCTGCTATTTCAGCTGTTAACTTTATTTTCTCTCTAAGTGTTTTTCTCCCCAGAAGAAGCTACAACGATGTTCTGCTGAGCTGTGGTGGCCTCATGGAGGGGGCCATCGACTAGCACACTGCTGCTAACCACTTATACATTCTCCCTCTCCTGATAATAACTTTTTACTTTCCTTGACGTTGGATGTGCTACTACTAGTTTACCCGTTTAATTATAGATCCACTAGAATAAATACAATAAAGTTTATCTCTCACCTAATAGAATATTTACTAAGACATCACAATATAACTATAGACACATTACTAGTCTTTGTGTGTGTGTGTGTGTGTGTGTGTGTGTGTGTGTGTGTGTGTGTGTGTGTGTGTGTGTGTGTGTGTGTGTGTGTGTGTGTGTGTGTGTGTGTGTGTGTGTGTGTGTGTGTGTGTGTGCTCTGTCTTCTCCATCCCCAGTGAGTCGTGGAGGATGGCTGCTTATACTGAGCCAGGATTCTCTGGAGGTTTCTTCCTGTTAAAAGGGAGTTTTCCTCTCCACTGTCGCTTTATGCTTGCTTAGTATGAGGATTGCTGTATAGTCACTGACACTAGTCAGTGACTTGATGCAATTTGCTGGGTTCCTTATATAGGAAACATTATTTCTGATTGGCTTAATGAACTGACCTGAATTGGAATGTTTATTATGTGAAGGTCCTTGAGACGACTCTTGTCGTGATTTGGCGCTTTATAAATAAACTTGAATTGAATTGAATTGATTTCAGAAATAAGATAATTACAGTAATAAATATGATGGATTACAGTAATAAATAAGATGGATTACAGTAATAAATATGATAGATTACAGTAATAAATATGATAGATTACAGTAATAAATATGATGGATTACAGTAATAAATAAGATGGATTACAGTAATAAGATGGATTACAGTAATAAATAAAATGGATTACAGTAATAAATAAGATGGATTACAGTAATAAATATGATAGATTACAGTAATAAATATGATAGATTACAGTAATAAATATGATGGATTACAGTAATAAATAATATGGATTACAGAAATAAATAAGATGGATTACAGTAATAAATATGATAGATTGCAGTAATAAATATGATGGATTACAGTAATAAATAAGATGGATTACAGTAATAAGATGGATTACAGTAATAAATAAAATGGATTACAGTAATAAATAAGATGGATTACAGTAATAAATATGATAGATTACAGTAATAAATATGATGGATTACAGTAATAAATAAGATGGATTACAGTAATAAATATGATAGATTGCAGTAATAAATATGATGGATTACAGTAATAAATAAGATGGATTACAGTAATAAAATGG